GGAGACAGTCCTGCCTCTGAGTAGGACCATGAGGTGCAGCATGTGAGTATTCAGAATCTGTCTCTTTTTCACTGAGGAAAGTAAGGAGAGCACAGACCTAGGGTGAGCCCCACCTATATAAATAAGAGCATACAAGTTACAGAGGTGAGAAAAGGTTCACAGACCAAACATTTGGTAAGTTCCTACTGTATACAAAGCAACATGCTAGATGTTTGGAGAGACAGGATTTAGGAAAGACTGAAGACTAAGACAGGTTTGGAACACACACACAACATGGCAGAGCAGATAGAATGTTGCACTTGGAGGCAGGAAAGTCTAGCCCCCAATCCAGCTGTGAGACCTGGGACAGTCACCTTGAGTCTCTGAGTCTCAGTTTGCTCATCAGTAAAAATGGGAATGGGAGCAGCTAGGAGTGCCAGGCCTGGAGTCAAGAAGATTCATTTTGTTGAGTTGAAATCTGGCCGAAGACACTTGCTAGTTGTGACCTTGATCAAGTCACTTAATCATGTTGGCCTCAGTTTCCTCATCTGTAAAATGACCTGGAGAAGGAAATGGCAAACCACTCCAGTATCTTTGCCAAGAAAACCCCAAACGGGCTGAAGGAGAGTCAGACATGACTGAAAGTGACTGAACAACAGCCAAAAAAATGGAAATAAAAGTGCATTTATAGCACGGGGTTGTTTCAATTCAAATGAAATAATGTGCGTAAAATAATTTGAAAACTTTAAAAATCGGGTTTCCTGGGCACCCCTTCTCCTAACCTCCCCACTCCAGGCTTTTATCCCCCAGTATTATTGATGAGTTCTCCTGAGATGCAAAACACTTTTTTAATCCATTCCGGTCAAGGAAAACTCCTTCAATAAGTGCCTCCACTTTAAATCCTTAACTGATTCTGGTTTGGGTTTCTCCTCCCCGCACTGAGATCTTTGCCACAATGCCAAAATTCTTAGCACTGCCGTATTGGTAAAGAGGCTAAGCTGTGGCCCAAACTCAGAGAGGTTCCAGCCTGGGAGAGGGAACAACCTTGACCAGTCACGTCCAAGTAAGTAGCTACTGTTCTAATAGCATGCTAAGGTTTGAAAAATGCTTTCAAATATTACCTCACTTTAGCCTCACAACAACCCTGGGAGGTAGGTGCTATTATTATCCCCATTTTACATATAAGTCAACTGAGGAAGTGTCCTAACGTTGAACTCAAGGTCTATCTGATTACAGACAGGTACAATGCTCTGCACGCTATGGCACCACCTAGCGGCCATTCCAATCACTTCCCTTTATTCTTTAACAAAAGTGGTCAGACTGACAGGCTCCAATGAGTTCAAGCTGGATGGGACCTTAAAGGTCATTTAATTTAACCCTTCCACTTTATAGATAAGGAAACTGAGGCTCAGAGAAGTTAAGTGACTAGTCTAGGGTCATACAACTAGTGACTGGAAGAGCCAAGATTTGAACCCAGATCCCTGCTCCCACTCTTCATTCTTCATATTCACATTCCCAATATTCATGCTTAGTGACTCCACTTCCCAGCCCTACACCTCCCCTTTTTATCCTCATCCTCCTTGGAGGTACCTACTACACTCATATCTGACACAGTTCCCTTCAACCCACTTCCACTCCCAATAAACACAAAATAATTTAGCAGAGTGGATACAGCGCTAGATTTAGAGCCAGGAAGACCTCAGTTCAAATCCAGCTTCTGGCACTTACTAGCTTTCTGGCCTTGGACAAGTCAGCTAATTTCTCTGAGAATCAGTTTTCTCATCTGTAAAATGGGGTTAACAATGTCTCACTGCTGTTGCGAGGCTCAAATGAGATGATGTATGCACAGTGCTTTGCAAACTATGAAGTGCCATATAAAGACCATTATTATTGCTGAGGGAAGATGTCATTCACACCCCACTGTTAGGGACTTTACAGCAGGGTTTTAGTCAGTGGTGTACTGGTAAATGTTTAATAGCCGTCTCTCAGGGAAGGGGAAAAAAACATTTGAATAAGCATCATGAACATTTTCTCCAACACTTTTTTAAGTCTAGTTATCAACAAAGCAATACATCAAGCCCTGATTTGTAGTTTGCTTATTTTTAGTGTGGAAACGTTCATGCTGAAAATTGAACCACTAGGTCTCTTGAGCTGGCTCTAGCACAGCCCTGGTAAACCGACCATGAATTCCATCCCACTCAGCAGCGTGAATGGCTACCCAAGTAGCATCTTCAACTCCTCTAGCAGAAGTCAGTGACTCTCAGTGAATGTGAGCTCATCGTGAATAAGCATCTTGTCCTTCTTTGTACAGTATTCCCAGCTGGGTCCAACACTGAGGACAGTGCCTAGCACTGGCATATACTGGGCACTTAGTAAATACTTGTCAGTTGACTGACTGATGACAGAGGTGACGGTACTCTATCTTCTGCTTTGGGCAGATCACATTTGGAGAACCAGGCTGTGTTCTGGGCACCACATTTTAGGGAGGACAGTGATGGAGAGCGTCCAAAGGAACAAGGCTATTGTGTACACATAACATAAGCTTTTAAAATGTTTGTTGAATGAATGAGTGAACAGCCAGGATGATGATGGGACTCCAAACCATATTCTATGAAGAAAGCCTATGCATGCTTAGTCTGGCACTGGCTTAGAGGAGACGTCTTCCTTCTCCAACCTTTTCAGTTCCCTTTTATGTGTTGTCTTCCCTGAATAAAGTGCAATCTCTTTGAGGGCAAGAATTCTTATTTTCCTATTTTTGTGTCCCCAGTACTTAGCAGACAGCCTGGCACATAGTAAGCACTTTACAAATTGCATTTTCTCCATCTCCCTCTCCTTCTTCTTCTTCTTCTTCTTCTTTTTCTTTTTCTTCATCTTCTCCTCCTCCTCCTCCTCCTCCTTCTTCTTCTTCTTCTTTTTCTTCTTCTTCTTCTTCTTCTTTTTCTTTTTCTTCTTCCTCTTCCTCCTTCCCCCCTTTCTCTCAAATCTGCAAAAATCAAGAGAGTTGAACTCAGTGATCATCTGAAGTTCCTTTTAGTTTTCAATTGGTGATTCTATAATCTGGGGAACTGTTATATGGAAGAGGGATTACACTGAAGATTCTAGAACTTGGACGTTTAGACATTATCTAATCTCATTTCCCCCCCTCCCATTTCACAGATGAGGAAACTGAGGTCCAGAGAGAAGGGCAAGCCTATACTTTAATGGCAGAGGCAGTATTCATACCCATTTCCTCTGACTCCAGAGCCAGGGCTCTTTCCCCTAGATCACAGTGCTTTCATATAACTGTTTGACAATGGAATGTGTGTATGTATCGGGGAGATGAGAGAATCTGGGTGGTCACACAACCAGAATGTGTCAGAACCTCAAACCCAGGTCTTCTGGACCCCAAGCCTGGTCACCCACCTATCATGCCATCCTACTAATCACCATCCCTTTAATCCTTTGGGTGCCCTCAATTGAAAATGTTCTGTTTTGAAGCTATATTTCATTAAATAAGTCTTCTCTCAAATCTACACTAGTGAAGATTCTTTATTGAGGGTGGAAGTTGATGGGACAAGGGGTTCCAGTGGAGGGAAAATTGCTCTTGAATCTAATATCAGAGGACCTGAGAATCCTCCCTCAATTATTTGCTGACTGTGATCCCCTCTCTGGACCTCAGTTTCCTGATCTGTAAAATAAAGGAGTTAGACTACATGGCCATGGAGGTTGCCCCAGGCTCTCCATCTCTCACTCCATGATCCTAGGAATCTGATGGTCCACCCGTCCAAGGGGGATTTGAATCTGAAGCCATGACCTTGGAGAAAGCAAAGAAGGCAGTTCTGATATTGATCTTTTAGGCTTGGGGGTGGGGGTGGGGTCAAGAAGGTGGGGTAGGGGGCTTTCCTATCTTCCTGAACTCAAGCTATATGATAGAGTGCCAGGTCTTCTCATGCAGGGCCAGCACCAAATTCTGGTACAAAAATAAGTTATTAGTATCATTTATACAGCACTTTAAGGCTTGCTAAGAGCTTTACATGGTATCTCATTTGATCCTCACAACAACCCTGGAATGTAGTTGCTATTATTATCCCCATTTTACAGTTGAGGAAACTGAGGCAGTCAGGTGACCCAGGGTCACCCATCTAGTAAGTGGCTGAGATCAGACTCAACCTTAGGTCTTCCCGACTCCCAGTCCAATTGCCACCTAATTGGTATAGGAGGGGCAAGGTGGTACAGGCATGGAGTCAGGGGAAGCTGATAGAACTAGAAGGCTCAGCTCTAGCTCCAAAGGGGAAAGGTGCCAGAAGTTACTAGAGAGTCATTTTTTTATGATCATCAAGGGGAGAGTGCAGTGACTACAATAGTGTCTGCTTTGTAACGTATCATATTATAATTGATGCTCAACTTTCAGACCTTTAGTGACTTGTCCAGAGTCATATAGCCAGTATGTGTAAGGAACAGAACTTAAACCCACATATTCCTACCTCCCCACTCCACCACCTTCCTTTTACTGTCCCCACTAGAGGAATAACCCTAACCCTAACCCAATTAAATGGCGCATTTCAGTATGTCATTTAATGAGATTGCTTTCAAAGTGGAACGCCCTGGACCTCTGAGATGATTCCTCCCTCTCCCCAGGAGACGACTTTGTATATCACTGTGGTCTCACCAGCCCTAATCAAAGTCTAATCTTTTGGATTAAATGAATGAAGCCATTAACAGTCCTGCAGGACTAGAGCTGGTCATTACGTATGAGCTCAGCTTCTTCAGACACCAGGTAGGAAAACCAGAGACAATAGAAGTCTCCAAACTCTGCTCTGCTCCCAAGGTGAAATCTGATGGACAATTAATTACTCCATCCTGCCAAGTGACTGAGCTCTGAAAGGTCTGTGTTTCAGGATCTGGGCACTTCAGTGCCCTGAGCCTGTCCCTCTCCTCCCTCTCTTCCCTTTGCCTCCCTTCCCCCTCCAGACAGATAGCCACAGTGAACTCTTGTCTCACCAGTGAAGAGCCAGGGCAAGAAAAGAGACCTCAGACAGAGACAGAAAATCATGCATGTTTATTTAGCATCACCATAATTATCTGGTACAAACATACCCAAGCATACACAGTATGCACCCAGCAGCCCTGTTGCCCGGCATACCCACTCTCTTAAATCCCTGCCAGGCAAGGGGCATCACGCACCCTGGATGATGCAGCTCCTTTGAGGCTGGCAGCAGTGATTTCTCAGAAGGACCAGCCCCTTCAAATGTATAACATTCAAACCGCAGCCTCCTACCCTCCCACCTTATCCCCTTATGTCCTTTAATATAAAGTGATCCCCATTCTTTTCACAAATAGAAAAAATAAGGCAGCTACCTACAGAAGCATCCATTCCCTGTCCATGGTCTGAAACAGTCTAGCTCCCTTCACCTCCTCAAAGCAGTCACTGATGGAGGGAATAACTCTCACCAGGAGATCAGAGGGTCCCAAGGACAAACTCAGGGCTCAGAGAGATGATAGGAGCCCTAGAGAGCTAGCCCAGGTCCCAGAAAGGGCTTCTTCTCCTGTGGGCAGGGGGAGGGGAGGAGGGAGTTCTGTCCATGGAGAGGGGGACAAGAAAGCTGGATGCAAAGCCACAAAGCTTTTACACAAGTCGGAAAAATCTCCCCCTCCCCCACCCCCATCTCTGCACTTAAATGATTAACAATCTTACTACAGTTGTAATGTACAGAACATATATCCCTTTCCCTCTCCCACTCCCTTCCCCTTCCCACCCATTAAGCTCCTTCATTATGAAGACACATCTATGTACAGGCCCATACTTTCAACAGAATATTGGACTCCTTTCCCTTCAAGCTGGAAGAGACCTCAGAGTTGAGGCCGAGAGAAGGGAAGTGACTGGCCCAAGGTCACACAGTAAGTGGCAGAAATGGAGATCGGGGTCCAGGCCTGCTGACTCCTCCTCCAGGGCTCTGTCCATTGCCAAGAGTTCAAGTATTCCATTCTCTTCACACATAAATAAAAGGGGAACTAATATTCCCTACTAAAAAGAGGAGGTCCTGCAGGAGCCACCTTCCTCTGGAGTGAAAAACTGGAGCTAGCTGGCATCAGTCCATCTACCAGGGCCTCCACAGAGGACTGGGAGGGCCCTTCAGGACAGGCTGCTTCCCAGGACCAGGAGTTGGGAAAGAGGGAGCCAGCGCCTCAGTGTCTGCCAAGGAGCTTTTCTGGAAGTGGCTACGAAGCTTGGTCTGGGTGTCTGTCTGTGCCTTGTGGAAGGAGAGGAAGTGGAAGGCTTCTTGCAGGCAGCGGGCATAGCCCTCCTTGAAGTCTGTCTGCAGGCTTCTGGGAAGTGAGCCTGGAGCTGGAGGAAGAAGAGGGAGATAGGGGAATGAGAAGAGGGTCCCAGAAGCAGCGCCCCCTGCCTAGTTTCTAGCCCTTCAACCCTTCTCCTATCTCTAGCTCCCTGACGCAGCTGGCTTCAAGAGCCCCATGCTCACCTTTGCCCTGCAGGTGACTCTGCTGTTTCAGGTAGCTGACGGTCATCTCCAGGATGTCAGCCTTTTCCAGCTTTGAGTTGGGCTGGTGTCTCTGGAATTCTTTCTCCAGCAACAGTTTCAGCTGCTCGATGCTGCTGTTGATGCGGTCCCGGCGCATCTTTTCCACCACCGGCTTCCTCAGCTGTTGAGAGAAGAAGAGTATAACACAGCAGTTAGCAAAGAGCCAGTCTGGACCCTCCAAATCCCCACCCCAGCCATTCCCTTCCTGCAGTCCTACTTCATCTCTGTTTTCCAAAACTATAGATGGTTCCAAGTCCTTGTACACGTCTGAAAACTTACTTTGTTTTTCTCTTTGGGAGTCAGGAGGGAGCTATGCTCCATGAAGTCTGTGCTGGGTGCCATGGGGCTCTTGGCTGAGACAGCAAAGATTAAAAACAAGAGCAGTAATGCTGGCAGCTGGACTGCCCGCCGCTGAGCAGCTCCCGTATTTATCCAGTTTGCTGCCCCAGATGTGTGGGGCTCTGGCCTAGCTGACTTTCCCACACTCGCTGGCCAATCAGAAGGCAGGGCTGGACAATGAGAGAAGCATCTCTTCTTGTATGCTTGGGCTTCGGGTGAATAGGCTGGGGATAATGACGCTCCCCTCTCCCCCTCCCAACCCTGAGCAGGTGGGGACTCTGTGGCTAGAGAGAGGAGGGAACCTGGCCTTGGAGAAGCTGGGAACTGGCTGCTGACTGATGTGGGAGATCAATAGCGCTCCCGGGCTGGACACAATGCACAGTTCAGGGAGATCTATGAATGGAAATGGAAACGACAGTTCCCCCCTCCCCCAGACACACATTGCCGAGTGGCGGGAAATCTTAGCCAGGCTCAGGGCAAAGGAGAAGGAAGATCTCTCCTCTGGGATGTGTGAGAGGGAGTACACAGGCAGAACTGGCCATCTGAGCCAAGATGGGGAGCTCCTAGTCAATTGAAAATAACTCCAATGTAGGAAGGACATCCCTTCCCCCAAGTGACCCCTCCGGCCAAATTAGGTGCCAGGTCCAAGTCAGAGGGAGGAATGAGAAAATCTAATCCAACTCAACGAGTGTTTGTTCAGCTACACCCAGGCACTGTGGTAGGTTACAGACATAAAAGTGATATAATTTCTGCCCGGAACAGTTTACATTCTACACAGAGAAGTAAATAACAACAACTAACATTTATATAGTACTTATTCTGTGCTAGGTGCTGAGCCAAGTACTTTACAATTATTTCACTTTTCACATCAACCCTGGGAAGTAGGTGCTATTATTATCCCCATTGTACAGATGAGTAAACTGAGGCAAAGACAGGTTAAGTGACTTGTCCATGGTCACACAGCTAGTAACCATTGCAGACTGGAATTTAAATCAAATGTTCCTGGTTCCAGGAGAGGCACTCCATCCATTTTGCCATCTGACTGCACAATACAAAATACAAAACATGTTTGTATACAGAATATTTTTGGTCTTTTGTTTTATATATATATATATATATATATATACATATATATATATATATAGAATAATATATATATATACATATATATATTATATAGAATAAATACAAAGTAATTTAGGGGAGGGGGAGAACATTAACAAATGGGGCTGGGATCAGGAAAGACCTCATGTAACAGGTGATCTGAGCCTTGAAGGAAGCTGGAAATTCCAAGAGCCAAAAGTAAGTAGGGAGAGAGCATCTAGGAATGATAGTGGGGATGGATCATCATGTTTGGGGGAAATGGCCTTTGAGATCACTTTGAGCTTTGATCAGCAATTCTATTACATTTTTTTCATTACTATTGTAATCATGAATCAGCCTGGCACAGTGGAAAGTACTCTGGATTTGAAGTCAGAGGACTTAGGCTTAAACCCCAGTTTTACCATTTAATACCCATTTAGGCTTGAGCAAAGCACTTCTCTCTGTGCCTCAACTTCCTCATCTATAAAATGTAGGGGTTGGATTAGATGATTTCTAAGGTTCCTTCAAGCTGTAAACACATGATCCTTTGGTCTGGTCCAATATTCTTGTTTGACAGAGACTCAGTCCCAGAGAGGGAATGTGACTTGTCCACCCTCAAACAATGAGTTGCAGAGTCCGACCTTTAACCTAGGTCTAAGTCCCTTGTTTCCCATTCTAGGGCTCTCTCCACAGTAATTACAGCAGATGACCTCTAGGGGAAACCCTTGGCCTGGTCTCACAGTATTCTACTGCTTTCAGAAGCTAAAGCTTTGAGTAAATCCTTTCTTTCAGCTATTTTGACAGGTCAGAAGGTTGAGCTCAATCTCCCCTATAATCCTGAGTCTAAAATGCATATGGCCTGGCAATCATCCAACATCTGCTTGCTGAGCACCTACAGCATATCGGAGACACTAACTGGGAATACATAGAAACATAAGGCATAGTCTAAATGGGGACATCAGCCTGGAATGTAGACATAGTCATAATGATAATTGGTAATTATGGAGCAACTTGAAGGTTGGCAAATGTTTCACCTAAATCATCTCTTTTGGATGCTGTGACAACTCAGTGAAGTAGGTCCACATCACCCAAGCAAGTGGGTACTATGTCCATTTTATTGAGAAGGAAACTGAGGCTCAAAAGAGTGATGGGATTTGCCTGTGATCCTTTAGCTACTAACCGTTACAGTCAGGATTCAAACCCAGGTCTCTATTCACTCGAGCTCGAGGGTTCTTTCTGCCATACTGAACTGTTGACACTTATGCTGGAGTAAGTGATTAGGGACTTCCTAGGAAGGAGGAATAGTGAGATGTATGAAGGCAGGAAAGTTTTCACAGAGGAAGTAGGTTTTGGCGCTGGTCTTAGAAGAAAAGGTGAGATTATGAAAATGGAGAAGAGAAAAGGCATCTGGGTAGGGAGGAAAGTATGTAGGTGGTATCCATTCTACCAATGGACCATCCGTGTGCCTCTGTATTCCAACAGCCTCTCCGACATTTATCATTTGGGTTTTTTTTTCTTTTTGGTAATCTTCCAAGTTAAACAAAAATAGAGAAGTGAACGGGGTGCTATAGATGTAAAATGTTGCACACATTTTCAGACAAAGTCACTACATTATTAGTTTTACTTTGTTATAAAAGATCTCTCATGAAATGGGAAGCCTATAAAGATTTACAATGTAAAAACAAAATGTATCAATGATTTTTTTAAAGGCAGTAAAATAAAAAGTAACAACAACAACAATAAAGCTAGCATTTATGTGGTGCCTTAAGGTTCACAAACATTATCTCATTTGATCCTCACAACAACACTGTGGGCAGGTGTTATTATTATCCCCATTTGCAGATGAGCAAACTGAGGCAGGCAGAGATTATGTGACTTACCCAAGGTCACACAGCTAGGAGGTATCTGAGACAGAAAGGTGTATCAGGATATCAGAGAGAATATAAAATATAAGCAATAATAATACATGATGTATGCAGACCTATTTTCCCTTAAATTGTTGGGGTTTTGTTCCCAGGTCAGCTTCCAGGAATAAATACATAAGGGAAAATGTTTTTGACTTCAGAACTATTGATGCCTGGATTGGCCAAAGATGGGTAGGATTTACAACTTTAGCAGTATCAAGTCAAGAAACATTTATGAAGTATCTACTGTATACCAGGCACCAATGCTAAGCCCTACGGATTATAACAAAGCACCAAAAAATAAAAATAAAATAAACCTCAGTCCCACTGTCCAGGGACTCACAGTATGATAGGACCAAGTCACAAAAAGCACAATCTTTAAATCCCAGTTCTGCCCATGACTCTCTGTGCAGTCTTGGGAAGTTCCTTTCCCTTCTCTGGGCCTCAGTTTCTCCAAATGTAAAGAAGGCATCTGTTCCTGTGCCCTGGATGGCCTGTTTGCCTCACTGGCCCCACCCGTGCCCACCCAGGTAAAGCAGACGTGGCTGAGTGCAGGGGGGGAGGGGAGCTCCCACCTCCCAGTATCTGCTTCCCCAGCCCCTTTTGTATAGCCCTCAATGGCCTCATCCCTTTTGTACAGATCAGCAGCTGGGAAGCCCTGGGTCCTTTATGTCAAGTTGTGGGAAAGTTTTTGTGACAGTGTCTCACGTGTTTTCTCAAAAGCTCCTGGATCATGTCTGTGCTCATGTAATACCATCTCAGAAAAACTCCCCAGGTTTGGCAGCAGAAGCTTGAGATCTCATAAATAGTTGTTGCTGTTTTTTTTAAATACCATAGAATTGTGGGAGAGCTATAGGTTAACAGAGGTAACTGAGAAAGTCTCTATTTCATAGGTAAAATGAATCCTGTGGTAAACAACCAGGGCACAACCCCCAATTAAAAGAACAAAGCTAATGGGCTTGGGTCCAAACAGGAGCTCATTAAGCTTGGAGGGGCCCTTAAAAGTCAGTTGAGGATATTGAGACCCAGAATAAGGAAGGGACTCAGTCAAGGTCACACAGAGTTCATGATGGCCCTTCACTATGAGGATGAGCACTCTTTTCACAATATTCAACAACCAGAAGGATATGTGCCCCTAAAAATAACTTCTTTGCATAGGGGGGACCTAGGGATGTGGAATATAGTATATGTGGTCAAACTTAGTTCAGGTGTCAGCTATTTATGCTGAATTACTTTTTTTCAAATAGTTTTTCTTCAAAGGTGACTCTGGAAGAGCGGAAAGCAGTACTATACTTGGACCCAAGGATGATGGGAAAAGAAGCAAGCAAAATTTTTTTATTTAAAAAACATTTGTTATTAAGCCCAAACTCCATTCTTTCATCTTTTTTTTTCTTTCCTCCCTCCCTCCCATGGAAACTGTCTTTTATCAAAGCCTTTTGATGTAATATTAGCCTGGAGAAGAAAAAACAAGCGATCGCGATAGCCCTCTTCAAACATTCAGAGTCTGGTGAGAAGAGATGTAGAACTTTTTCTACTTAGCTCAGGACAGAGCTAGGAGCAATGAGTGAAAGCTGAGAAGTGGCAGAATTTAAGACTGGATATTGGGTAAACCTCTCTGACCATGGGTATTAGTTATCACTGAATGGAATGGGCTACCTCAGAAGGTGTGATCCTGAGTAAGTCACCACCTCTGTCTGCCTCAATTTCCTCATCTCTAAAATGGGAATAGAACCTACCTTCTGGGTTGTGAGGCTAAAATGAGACAATATTTGAATCTGCAAAGCTTAATTGATATAGAAATGCTTAGTTGTCCATCACTAGAAGTCTTCAAGCAAAGGCTAGATAATCATTTGTTGGCAATGCTAGAGAGGGGATTGTTGGTCAGCTATAGATTGGACTGGGTGGGCCAGAAGGTCCCTTTCAACTCTGAGATTACAGGATTCCATGTGTTTGTAATCTACTGTAGGGCTCAGTTCAACATGATAGGTCACATAAAAGAAATGGCGCTAAACTGAACCCAGAGGCTGAAATAGGAGGAAAGGACAGCTCTGCGCCTTCTGAGTGGAAG